CAGCCTGGAAGTATTTGCCCGCTTATTGTCTGGACAAAAAAGTAAAACAAACAGACCTTAAACCCTTTTCCCCCTGACACTTCTGGTCTGGAGTCAGGGCTGTAAGCTCCAGAGTTCCCAAAAACATAGTTTATCAGAAATAGCATCCTACTAAACCAGGCGTGGAGGTGGCTTCAGCGAGCCATGCCACCACCTCCTCCTCCACAAGTCACTGAAAAACCAGTCAAGAGATCTCTGAATATTTAAAGGGTTGCTGTATGAATAATGGAAACAACCAGCAACCAAGAAAACGTGATAGCCTGCAGTGTCATGGGGAAGCACTCCCTTGGGAGAGGCCAGAAACTGTGGGCAGATGTCTGGGCACACCCTCAGACAAATTCAGCTTTCAGGAGCATCAGCAAAAGCCAGTTCCTGGGTCAAAAGCTGCCTGAGAATCCATTCCCCCATGTCCAGCAACAGACAAGAGTGAGAGCTTTCCTCACCTGATCAGGCAGCAGCACAAAAAATGACACAAAAAGGGGAAAATGCTGCTGTAAATAAAGCAAAAGTGCTCCTTTCCCCGCCAAAAAACCACAGCAGGCATAGGGTGTGAAGCCTGGGGAAGCCATTTTTCAGTGAGAGAGTTGTGGCTCAGGAAAAGAAGATCCATGGGAGACACAATCCCAAATCCCAGGAGATCCCCTCTTCCTTTGCCTATCTCCTCCCAGCCCACACCTCCCCATCAGGGACCGCAGAAGGAGATCAAAGTCTGGTTCCAGCTAGTGATGTTTTACAATAGAGGTTTTCTTCCCACCATCCTGTTTTTCACCAGCTCTTTTTCAGGATTTTGAGATGTGTCAGACCCCAATCTCTTCTGTGCTGCCCCCAGCAATGCCACTGTGGCCACCCAAGTAAAAACTCTCCCACCTCTGTGAAGCTGGAGGCTGAGCATAGGCTTTGACCCCATGTTGGTGGGGTGGATAAGTGGCTCCTGAGGGCTCTTTCAGGACCACTCTTTTACTCGGGTCCCAAAGGGAAGAGCAGAGCTGTCTGCATGAAATAAAATCCACACTAAAAAATAAATGAGAAAGAAAAGCTGAAGGACTAGATTTTCCAAGTCACCACACATGCACTGCCTGGTTTGTCCAGGAGCATTTTGGGTTTCTCCCATGCAGAGCTAAAGAGAGAGGAAGGCCAGGAGGAGCCTGGGACACAAAGCAAGACTGAGATCTGGCAGGAGAAATACTCAGTGGTAAAAGATTCTGTGCTGTTCAGGTGGCACCACAAAGCTCCATGAGGAGATTCTGGGACAGAGGCAATGGCTGCTGGTCCCATGGCAGGTGATGGGATAGAGGCAATGGGATGGATGGATGGATGGATGGATGGATGGATGGATGCTGGTCCCATGGCAAGTGATGGGATGGATGTGATGGCCCCAAGTCCCATGAGCATCCTTCCCCTGCATACATAGATCCAGACACAGGCTATTTTTTCCTGTGGGATTCCCATCTGATACTGCAGAGAGATAATGGCTGCAATCTCCATATTTTTTTAAATGTTGAGTCTTGTTGAGTCCTTTCCTTCCAGGAAAATGCCCTTACCCTTAATAAAGCTGGGAGAGAGGGCTCCTCTGGATGGGCACATGGCAGAGGCCACATGGCCTCTCTCCACCTCTGTTGGGTGCTGTGGTTGATGTGGGCCTGGCTGAGACAATGCAAAGTTTAACAGCTTATGGAGTAATTAAGCAAAGCCTCTCAATACAGCATCACTAATTAGATGAATCCTCCCTAAATTACTAGTAGTTCATGGTACCCTGTAAAATCCTTGTGTAATAGCCTTAGAAACAATGACACTCAGTGCTGGCATTCAGCCACACAGCTCAATGGCAATTGCAAAGCACTTGGATGTTCATGAGCCTTTACAAAAAAAAAAAAAAAAAAAAAAAGAAAAATCTAAAATGTACATTTCCCCCAATGACTCTTCTCTGGGGTGTATTAAAAGCAGCACCTTGACTCAGCCTGCCACATAAACATCCTGCTGCCCCTGGACAGCCCGATACTGTCTTCCTCCCAGGATGAGGAGCTGAATAAGAAGTGACAATCACAGCTCCTGCCTGCAGGAAAACAGGAAGCGCCAGAGTTGTACAACCACTCCAAACATTGTCCTACCTGCTCTACTCCTTGGGTGCAATGGGAACTTGCTTTCCCTTCCTTTCCACATTGCATAACTATTTCTTGTCCAGTGCTGCTCAGTCCCAGGATGCTGCTGCGTGGGACAGTCCCTGCGGCCTTTGGCTTCTCCCTGCTTGCCCAAAGCCAGCCTGGTGCTCCCTGTCCAATGCACAAGGACAAATGTCCACCTTCCAAATCCACTGCTAACAGTGCTAGCGCTGAATGCAAGCACGGGAGGAGATGGAGATGGACTCAGGGTGCTGGGTAGATTGGCTCACCCACATCTGGCAGGAGCTAGAGTGAAGGAAATCCCAAGTCCCACCAGAAAGCAGCTGAGTTGGCCAAATTTGGAAATGCCGGTAAGACTGAAGGAGTTGATGCTTACACATAGGCTCCAGCTCATGCACTAAAGTGCTAAACCTCATCCTTGAGAGTAAGATAGCCCTGTGGGTTGATGGGGTGTATGCCCCACCCTCAAAGCAAGCTGAGCAGCCAAGGTTCTCCACAGGCATGGAGAGGAGCTCTGGGAACCCAGAGATGTGATGGAAAAGAGGCCACTTGCAGAACCACCAGTTTATTCACAAATACCTACTCCCACCCTTGACTTTTTAGGTTGATTTCAAGGAATCCTCATCCACTCAGTGCAATGCATCCCCCATCCAGCACCCTGGCAGCCCTGCTCTCAGGACCATCCTTCCCAAAGACCAGAGACTTTCCACCTTACATGATGCTCCAGGAGCAGGGAACTTTGTTCCTTCTACAACTGCTCCCACATTTTTGCTGAGAGATGGGCCCAAATTTGCTTGCAAAAACACAGATGTCATATGCAAGTTTCCAAACAAGAAGAGGAATAAGAAGGTTTCCTCTCCGCTCTTCCTTTTCTTGCAGTGTAAAAACATCCCTCGCCAAATGAGGCAGTGTTTGCCATCACTTTGCAAAGTTCACATTCCCACAAGGCAGGCATGAGGAGGAACAAGGGGGGGAACCATCACATCAGTGCCTGCAGGTCATGGTCACACAAGACAATACTTTGCAAGATTTGGAAGTGGGAGGAATGCGGGAAAGCTGAAGAGGAGGATGTTTATTAACCTATAAGAATATCTCCAAAGGGTTTGCGTCCTGTGAGGGGAGAAAAAAGGAGCCCAAGGCAATGTTGTTCAAGATATTGGTGGGAAAAAAATCTGGAAATCCTTATTCAGGCAATCCTACTGCTGGTGTAAAGAAAAAGAGGATGGCTTTCTCTCACATTCATGGCAGTGAGGGTTTTCCTGTATTACGGGAAGCTTCATATGAATTCCCCAACTAATTCCCCTGTGCAATTGCATTAAATAGTAGGATGTGAATGCATTTCCACACCTGACTCAGCCTCTGGGCCCAAAAAGGCTGCTGGCTCTCTAAAGGTGTATAGCAGGAGGCCTTTCCGTCCAAGAACTGCAGTCTCAGCCTTGCTGGCTGTTGCTAAGTGGTGAATGGAAGGCAAACAGGGGAAGCCCAACACTGAGTTTCAGTAAATGTCTACAGACACTTGAGAAAACTTTTTGGCACAAATATATATATATATATATAAAAAAGAATAAAAAAGTAAAAGTAAATTCCAGGGGTCAAGGAAAAAAAAAATTAAAAATCACCATTTAAATGGCAGATACAAGGCAGAGGAAGGAGAGACAAAACCCTGATGGAAACTCGGGAAGTTCAGTTTCCTTGCAGTGCAAAGCAAAGGGGGTTTTCCACTATTTCTTTCTGCCCCTCAGACAAATAATGTCTCTTTGCTTTCACTTTATGACTGTAAAACAAAAATCAGCTGCACTTCTCCCTCCCCATTGCAGCTGTGCTTCGGCTCGCTGGGGCTGTGGTTGGGACAGTCCCTGCTGAAACGCACAAGCAAATCATGGCCATTCACACCCGCCCCCGAACATCCCCAGCTCTGGCTGTAAAGGGATTCTCCCAGATTTGCGGGGCAGGTTGCAGGGACACATGCAGCAGGGTCTAGCCACAAGACCTGGAGGAAACATCTGCTTGCCGCAGAAAGGCTTTAAAAAGCACAAGGCTGTGAAGCCGATCCTCTAAGCAGCAGTCCCCGCCAGCGGCGGGCAGGGCTTCCCCGGGCCCAGAGCACCCTCTGCTGGGAGAGCCAAAGCGTGGCACAGCCCTCACGGCTCCTGGAGGTTTCCGTCCCGCGGGGCGGCTCATTGGAGCGGCACGTCCGTCTGCCTGATTTGTGCTCACCCCTTTTTATTGTGTAACGAGGCCCCTGCACTGCGTGGTCACAGATTTTAAGCAGCAAAAGGGCACAGACAGCAGTTCAGCACTTCCAGTCTGTGCCTCACGGTCGACCCGCCACATTACACCGGCTGTGTCCTGTCACCTCCCCTGCCACAGCTGCTAGCTCGGGGGACCCCCGGCAGCACAGAGGCAGGAGCCGTGGCCCAGCACTGCTCAGCCCCAGCCGCTCCCCACAGCGCCGCTCCCGAGCCGTGCCTCACGCCAAAAGCCGCGGGCAATCGGGAGAGAGTATCGGGGGACCGGGAACATCTTTGCCCGCGTGGCTCTGCAGGACCCCGCATGGAAGCGGGGATGCAGGGCCTGCTCCTCACAGCACTATTAGCTGGCACGGCACAGACACTGAATAAAAAGGGCAGATTCTGCCTCAAAATCTCACGCTGTAAACGCAGGCAGGAGGCACCTGCTGTGCCTCAGGCCGTTTCCCTGTCCCGAGCCGAGCTGCTGCCCAAACAGTACTTTAACCCAGCTCTGGCTGGGTGTGTTTAAATAAACACAGGAGGTTCCCCAACAGTCTTCCCTCGGGCCCCGAGCTGCTCAGCAGCACTCGGCACCCAGCACACCCCAGAAATGCGCTTCCTTCCCCGCCTCGGCCTCTCGGCCGCCCTGGCCATCGCCGCCTTCCTCAGCTGGAGGCTGCTGCTCCAGACCCCGGCCCACAGGCGCGGAGGTAAGGCCTGGCCTGCACGGCGGCCCTGCACGCCCGGCAGCGGCTCTGCGCCATGGGGGACGTGGCCTGGAGCTTCTTCCAGAGGCTCTAGGTGGGCAAATGCCCGCAGGACAGAAAAAAACCTTGGCATGGTGGTTGTGGAGAAAGCCCTTGCTGTGGGGCCCTGCAGCTTTATGTCCTTAGTGGGGTCATTGATCTTACGTGTGGTGGGGAAAACAAGTGTCAGGCTGCTGGAGGTAACTCCCAAAACTTTTGTTAGGAAAACGTGTGTTGTTTTGTTGTGAAAAGCTGTTGGGAAGGCAGGAGGGAGCAGGGGCATTGGAGATTATTGCATTTCTTGCCTAAAAATCGCATCCTTCCCCTCCTGTTCCCATCATTCCAAAGCAAAGTTGTCCCAGTTTTTGCAGACATTGTCATTCTGGGGCTGGGTGAGTCAAAGAGCAGCTCGGGATAGCTTCAGGCACCACTGTGTTTCTTCCTGTGTTCCTGAGGTCCTTTGCCTAATTTTAACTGTGCTTCTCTGCTTTTAACTGTGCTGCTCTGTACAAGAGCCTCCCCAAATATTTAACTTCCCAAGGACCCAGAAGAAACCATCAAACTGTCTCCTTGAAGCTGCCAGATGCCTGCACTGAGCAGAGGAGGCAGATGTGGTGCTGCTGAAGAAAATAAACTAGCAAGGCAGGCATAAATCTTCCACGTTCAAACCCACTCTGGCCCTTTCACAACAAATATAAGACAAAAAAAGAAAAAAAGCAAAGCTGAAATTTGAGAACTTAAGCTCACTCTCATAGTGTCTTTGTATTTGCTTTTGCCCTTTATATTCGCTTTGTTGTTGTCTTACTTCTCTTTCGTTTTTGCTTCTTACTTGCTTTTGCCTTTTTATCTACAATAGAAAAAATTTACATATGGGAGCGATGCAAGAAATGATGTCATTTGCGTTCCTAAATCACCCTAAGCCATTAAGAATAACACCTTATGTTCATTTGTTAGCTGATGTTAACCTATCAACAGATGCAAAAGGGTTTGCAGGACATCATGTATTTGTAGATACAAACCAATTTACTACTGCCTGGTCTCTCAAAATATTTTTTACTCTTTGTTAAACTCACCTGTGTGATGTTCAGTTGCAAGAAAGGAGTTAAAAACAAAAATTATGTTAGTAGAGAACTGGGTCTCTAGAATAAATGAGGTTGAGATCAGTCCTCGGTCATGGTGATTTGGGGAAAGGGAGGTCTGGGTGTCCATAATATCACATGTTCATGGGGACAGAAACCCATTTCCCAGCAAAGCCAAGCTCTTTGCCAGACAGGACTGGTGTCCCCTCTCCTACCCGTCTTTGTCCACGCTGAATCCGTTCCACACTGGAATAACTGGAGAGGAGCCTGCAACAGCACTGTGTGCACAGGGTCTGACTCAGGGCACTGTGTTCTTTCCTCATCCCTGTCTCCAAATGCTGTTTACCAGGTGACCTGGCCCCCAAGGCAGAGGAGGGCTTCACTGTGACACTGGACACCTTCCTTCACGTCCAGCAGCTCAGGAAGAGGAGACTGAGAGCTTTCTGTAGCCAAGCAGGCAAAGTTGCCACACTGGCGAGCAGCCAGGACGAGAAAGCCCCCCTGCTCCCGAGTCTGAGGGTGAACACCAAGCTGGACTTCCTGTACTGCCAAGTGCCGTCAACAGGGGTGGAGGAATGGCATCAGCTTTTGGAAAAGCTAGAGGAGGAAAATGTGACGCTGCCAGTGCCGCTCCCCTACCGCCGGCTGCACGCTAAGGAGACACAGCTGAGCATGTTCAACCAGACGGAGGTAAAGGCCATTCTGGGGTCTTACACCAAAGTGCTGTTTGTCAGGGACCCTTTCCACAGGCTGATCACCACGTTCCTGCAAGGCATGGGCATCAGCTCATCCTTCAGCAGCTTTGTCCAGGAAGTTCTAGACAGTGGAATGCAAAATGGCAGCACGGCTTGGAAACCACTGGTCAGCCTGTGCCGGCCCTGCCTCATCCAGTATGACTACGTGGTGATGTTTGGCTTCCTTAGGCAGGAGCTGGGCCACCTGCTGCACCAGGCTGGGCTGCCTGCAGGCAGCCTCCCCCCCGAGCTCACTGACAGCCAGGTGCAGTGGACCTACAGGTGGTTGTCAGAGCAGATGTTCAGTGAGCTGTCTGCCCAGCAGAAGAAGCAGCTGTCTCATTTCTACCGCTGGGACCTTGCTGCTTTCCCATTTTCTAGCAGTTTCCTGTCAGACCGCCCCAGCACCACGAAGACCTGGGAGAAATAGCCCCACGGAGGAACTGTTTCAGGGAGTGTTAATCCAAAGGCTTCAAGGTTCTGTCAGGCCTTTACTTGCAGGGAGGTTTTCCATGTCACAGTCCAAAGGACTCGGCAGAGAGCTAAGACACACCACTGCCAGGGATGGGGGATCAACACAGCTGTGTACTGTTTAAACACAACACGTGCAGGCACTAGGGAAACTTGTGGCACAAGTCAGAAAAGTCAGAAAACTTCATGAACTAAACTGTGATGGGATAAAGCAGGTTGGGTTGGGGTGGGTTGGACCTGCTGCAAACTACAGCAGCATCACACATGCTGTGCCCACATTGACATTTCCTTTTCTGGGCTTTTGTTGGGCCAAGAGGTTTGGCAATGGCTTCTTCATGACAGATCTTCCCATGCAGATACAAGAAGTGCTCCCAAAGGAGCATGTCACCTGGAGGCTGAGATACAGCACAGGGTGACACACCCTGCTAGGCAACCACTGGCAATGTTCCCAATCTTTTCATGCTCAGGGAGGGTCGAGCCTGGCCCATCATTTGGTCTTTTCTGTTCTGTGTGAACTGTTCCTGTTTTACAGCCTCATCTCCTATGTGTGTGGGCTCAAGTAGGCCCTGGGGATGGGACCCAATCCTTGCTCCATTCACAGGTTTTGAGTTTGGCTCCCCTCCTTCCAGGGCTGACTCCAATAGGCCAAGGCCACTGTTCAGCTCAGTGCACTAGCCCTGAGACAAGGAAGTGTCAGTGTGGACCAGGTACCAGCCACAGCACCAGGCAGACTGTGTCTGTCCCACCTTGTGTCAGCAACTGGTGGGCCCTGTGGAGGTGGCTAGAAGCATCATAATGCATCACTGTGCTGCTGTGAAAAACAGGATGTGGCTACTACAAGCTCCTGCTGGCAGAGAAGCACAAGGACTGACTCTTTCTTTCGGACTTGGCTGCCAGCATGGCCAGACAGAGGCCCAGTCTCTCCAGCTGGCTCACGGCTTCATCCAGCTGAGCAGCCCGGAGCAATCACCCGTCGTCTCCCTGCTTTGGTCACTGAGCTGATCTGACTCACAGCCCCTGGGAAGGGTCCATCTTTGTCAAACAAACACCAAGGATGAGCTGAAGTTATCTACATTTCAAATCCTGACAGATTCTGACCATGGCATACTTGTTTCCAGAGTATTTAGCAGCTTTATTTTGTAGTGTTGTGACATTCACAGAGAATTCCATGTACATTCATGGTACCAATTTGACAGCACTCATTAAAGAATGTTAGTGAAAACTGTTGATCAGAACTGACCTAAAAAAATTGCCAAAATCTTGGCTTCCCTCTCTCACAGAAGGCCATGCAATTAATATCATCAAAACATCAGATCAGCTGGGCTCCTTTCACACTCCTGCAAACTCTCCAGCTGCAGTAATTACTATTTAAGTGCCGTTATTGTGCGCAGTACTTTACAGTCTAGCAAGATGGCATAGTTCCTCTTCTGAGGATAGACTTCTGGAAGAAGAAAAGCAGCAAATTTCCACTTATATGCCATTAAGTTAGAGTCTTGCATCCATGCTCTATGTCACTGGAAAATACTAGAAAAGTATTTGATGAGTAGCTTTCCTTCCAGTGACAGTGACCTGAGACCCCACACAGCAAGATGTGGTGTGAGGAGATGGGACACAGCACCTGGCAGGGGACAGTGCTGTGCACTCAGGGCAGGAGAGCTGCTCCCTCACAGCTTTGCAGTGCAGGCCATGCCTCAAGTCAGGGATCTTCTCTTCCTACCAGCCCTCTGCAGTAGGTCCCAGTCCTCTCCTAAGGTGCCTGGAACTTAGTTCCATGGGAAAGCAATGTATGAAATGTTCAGACATTGAGAGGTGATATGAAAACCTCAGTTTCATGTTCCTTTGAGTCCCACAGCACAGGCAGGTAGTACAATGATCTTTCTGTAAATTCCTATTAGCCTCCAAGCTTCCCTTTTCCCTATACCCTCACAATCAGTTGCTGTCATTACTTTGCAACCCTGATTTTTATACCATTGCCCTCCCCAGGTGTTTGATATAATTTACATTAAATTCCAGTGAACCCCAAAAGGGAAGTATTTCCTCTCTCTATCAGCTGGGCAAGGGTATCAAGAGGGCCTCAAGCTGGGATGGGCATGAGGGCCAGGGCTGCTGCCTGGGAACAAGGCACTACCTGGGAACTGGCTCACTGATGCTGCAGCAAAACTGTCTCTACAGGTCTGCTCTGAACAGCCTGATCTGAGCACTGCATGTACGCAGAACTTGGCAAATGCACTTCAAATTAACTCACAAAGCAAATAGCAAAACAGAGACTTGATGCATCTAATTATCTAATTAAAAAAAAAATTCACCTGACCAGGCAGTCACTGCAGCTGCGTGAGACACTCACAAACCCATCCTGAAATGATGACAATTCTAAAACCTGGGGGAGAAAGAACATTTATCCTATTGGTGACATCCCAATGTCTCCCAGGACCATCACAGGCAGCAGACCTATCATGAGCACTGGCAAGTTTCCCTGGGATGACACTGGGAGCTCCTTGATATCCCAGTCTTCCTGTGTCTGTGTCCATGCTCTGCTTTAACACATTACCTTTGTATTTCTTCTCGTCTTCATCTGAATGAGCATGTCCAGCAATCCCACGAGGTGGAATTCATATGAACAGCTGATACTAATCTACCTTACAGACTTTGTATTTTGCACCCCTCCCTGGGCACCCAAGAATGTGGACACACAGGCTCTAATAGCTGCTCTTGCACATGAATTATCACGTCTTCTTCTCTAAGAGGTTTTCTACATATTACATTACTTTGTTTTCCTGAGAAAACAAAAATGTGTTCTTGCCCAGTACCTCAGAGCTTAAGAACCACCAGTATCATGTTTCAATTAATAAAACAATTATATAGCAAGCCCAACAGGCACAGAATACTTCCTGCAACTCACATATACAAATTCCCTTCTTCTAGATGGTAGATCCATAGTATTTTAAGTTGAGAAATAAATCTACACCTTCCCAAGCAATATACCCTGGAGTGTTTAAAAAAATATTTCACACGGAGCATACATTTTCCAGTCCTACGATGAAGGCAAATTTAAAGAAGTGTGTATATGAGCAAAATTTTATATAAGGAGTTACATCCTCTTGCACCATATGTTTTTGATGGCCCTGGGAGTGCAAAATGAGCAAAAGGACATTTTCACAAAGCAGTAGGCCAGAAAAACAGATAAAGGTTTGCAAATGATAAGCAGGCACGGTATGTGGCTGACGCTATCTAGAGATAACATAGTGCTCCAGTGTTGAATCTGACAGTGACAAAAGCTGTCAGGATGGATGCCCAGCACTAAATCCAACATGAAAAATATATTCAATCCAGATGACACCAGGTCATCACATAGTCAGCACATTTTTTAGACAAGCAGTCCCTGTAGCAAAATGTACCCATGCTCTTACATTCAGCAAAACCAGAATTCTCTTGAAAAGAAGGCAAGGCCATGACAATCCAAGGGATTGACCCAGAGCCAGCTAATCCCCAGCTGTGCCCAGCCTCCTCGTGCCCCTTGCTTAGGCTGGTAAAAATTGCCTTGGGAACATCGACGAGCAAATTTCTCTGTTACTCCAAGGTCTCTGATGTCCTTTCCTATTTAACGGACAGGGAGAGATGTGGAGGTGTGGGATGGGAAAAGTCTGTGTCAAACAAAGCAGCATCTTGCTGGAAGTCCTCTTGGTATATTTAGTTTTTATCTTTAATCAGAGAAGACAAGATAGCACTTGAACTGAAATCTCATTAAAGCCCCGGTGCGGACAAAGCAACACTCATTGGACTTGGGGTAAATGAGTTTTTAGTCACATTTTAGCCTTTTCCTCTGAAACACAGGTAATTGTAGCAATACTTTTGTTACACAGGTAAGACCATCTTCATTAGCCAACATCAAAATTCCTGCTCATCTCCCTCTAGGATATAACTGGCTTTGTGTGCAAAGGGGACACAGCAGGGTCCAGCCCTCAGCACCTCTTACACCCTCCCCCATCTCAGCTAAAGGACTCTTATGCCTGGGCTCAACACATTTAAGTCCTTCTTGCATAGCATCACAAGGTGATACATCTTTTCCCCATAGCAGGGAAAAGAAGAAACAGCCACCCTGCTATTTCACATTGGCTCCTAAGTAGCATCCTTGCAACAATTTTATATGAAACCTGTAAGCTTTTTCAATTACACCTAGATAACATCACCTTCAACTTACTCTTCATTTGAATTTACATCACAGCTATAATCTGGCAGCAATTTCCTCTCATAGAGAAAACAATGATTGGACAATTAAATGTGAAAGCTCCGCAAATCAGTGGGTGAGCCACATGAACACAGGTTGGGTTTTTTTTCTCTATTATAGTCCTACTGCCTTGTGGTTCCTCTGGCATAAGCTCAGTTTCAGCAGAGTTTGCTCCTCAAACTTTCTTCCTACACACGCACACACCATGGTTTAAAGGTCCCTGGCTCAGCAGAAGGGCACTATAAAGAGAGAAAAAATATTTGAATTAGCAACAAATGAGGGTTGTGTCCAGGGTTCATCATGTCCCACCCTGCTGCTTTTCAGGTGGGGGACTTTGTACATGTGAAAATAGGAGCTCCTATCCCAGTTTTTCCAAATGCAGAGATGTCTGTCTCATGGCACTTTTGTTAGAGGCCTGATGGTTGAATACTACAGAGCCCTGTGACTACACTAGGGCAGAGCAGCCCATGAGAAGCCAATGACAGGGATAACTCCTGCACTCCTTCAATGTCCACAGCTCTATGGAGACTCCTGTGGCCTTAACATTCAGAAGAAGGGAGTATTTGAAGGAACGCTTTTCTCCCCCTTCCCTTGCTGAGGGACACCACTAAATCACACTGTGGCCTTCACCATATGTAATGATTTCTCTGAGAGATGATAGTCAGGAGCATCAGGACAAGCAGTCAGTGCCTTTGTTCCATGCACAACACTTAGAGAATGGAATGGATTGAATG